GTACACAGTTCGTTTGTCCCTCAAATACGGGACACATATTCAATCAATGTCCAATAAAAGCCCCGCACTCTTAATTAACATTATGATTACAGTGCTGTACAGTCAATCATCCGTCTCTTGGATTATTGCGCATTTTCCTTGCTCCGTTTCTATCTCTAGCGACGACCCTTTTTTTCCCGTTTGCTGTGTGTGTTTCGCTCTGTCTCTCAAAGTAAATTACATTTAAATCGAAGCAGAACAATAAAAGAAGACAGAAAACATTTATATAAATTGCGTTGTTCTGAATCGATGACATAAGTCGGCGACAATATTGGCCACTTATCGGCGCTTCGGGTTATATCGACAGTTCCATTAACGCAAAAAAAAAAAATTGATAACTGAATTATGAGCCGCCAATTTTTTGAGCCGAAAATTACGTTTTTTTTTCCTTCATTGGAACCTTTTTTTCCTTGAAACCTTTTTTTCCCTTCGAAATCTTCTTTTTTTCATTGAAATAGTTCGTTTTATCATCGTTCGAATGACTTTATTTTCATTTTAAAATGAAACAGTTGGAGTTGAAATCGGTTGGGACGTTACAAGGTTTCCAGTTTTTTTTTCTCTCGGCGAAACATTTTTTTTATTATTCTTTTTTTTTCATTTACTCTGCTCAACAATAAAAGCGGCATTTATTTAAACAGCCACAGAGAATTTTGGGGGCTTTTGTTGATATCTCCATCGTGCAAATACCAATTAAGCCAGCGCAGTGTTGGAAAGATAATTTTTTTTACAAAGTCGGCAAACAAATGTTACGAAGTAGCGCATTGATCATCCGTCTAAATGATACGACATTCATTTATGGCTCTTTTTTGGCGAAAAAAATTTCGCGTTTACTAAGCGCGAATTGGGTAAAAGCATTGATTTGACAAAATTTCGATGGATGGAACCGGTGGCCATATGGTATTTTTTTTGCATAACGATCGATCGTTTGTAAACACACGAATTTGTATTCGACAAACCATGTGTGTCAAGCCTATTAGACCTGTCACGCTTGTCGGCTCTCGCCCCTCATTCTGTTTGTTTGCCACTTTTATCTTGGTAATGTTTTGTTTTGATATGGTGTGCGCCAAATTCGGTGTCAGGTCATCAGTTTAATGTTTTGTTGATACTATTTAAAACGAAGTGACAAAGTGATAATGCTTTTTAATTGGTGAAGTCAGGTCAGTCAGTGATAATTGAAAGCAAAACCGCTTTGATAGCCGAAAATTCTCTCGATTTTTGTTTGTAGCAAAATAAAAGCGATTATAAAATTTCTTGACTTTGTTTTAGGGAAAAAAAAAAACTTTTCATCTGTTTGATTTACCTAAAATTCAGATAAGTTCATATTGACTCAACCACGTCATATTTTGCGATGACGCGTAAATAGAAAGCAAAAAGGCGAAGAAGAGAAAGAGAGAGAAGAAAAAAAATTGTCATCAAAACAAATACATTTTCGGGCGTTTTATTTTTATATGTGCGTGATAAGGCATATTTTTGACATCGCATTGCCAATCAGCCGAATTGAAGTAGCATCCGATTATGTTTTCTCGCTTCAAAGTGGGCTAAAAATACATAACGAAATATAATTATGATTCGATTTGCACGCATCGGATGCGTGTTCGATTATAACATTTTCATGTCCAACTGAAGCGGGTTTTTTTTTATGGTCATCGATTTGAATAACAATCTTGTTTACCTCCGACTTCGATTGTCTGTCGATCGGACCACTCTCAAAAATGTCGTTCGACGCACATACACACACTCGACAATGAACGTCAGCAGGTGAATGATCGCGGTAGTTTTTCTCACTTCAATGAAACAATGTAATTTATTAATGGCCCACATTTTACTAGTTTTTAGCTCATATTCCGACTTTAGTTGATAGTGGGTTAATAGATCGCACATGCCACCATTGAAAACTATTACTGCAGCAAAAAAAAATGGAGCAATAAAAATCCTTATACTCAAACGAAAAAATCGCAGAATCAAAAAATTTCGCTTGATTATTTTTTTCCCATCACTATCGCTGATCACACACCCAACGAGTGATCCGATGGAATGTACGAACGAACGAACGAACGAACCAACGAACAAGAGACAAAGAGAAAACCGATGAAGAAACCGATTTGTTTTGAATTGTTGCTGTGTGCCGAAACTGACCTATGCCAAAAATGAACAGTTGCTATTTGATAATATCATGCAGAGCTCATGCATTCTGTGTTTGCCGTCGGATCAACTGCATACTCACATACTTGACAAGGCCTTTCGCGTGTTGCCTCTTCAATTCGATAGAATGCAGCAAATGTCTGCGATATGACGTAGTTTACTCCTCAGAATGGGTTTTTATTCCCAGTGGACCGTAATTTTTTGCGGGCGTAATTCGATATTTTTATCTTTTGGACTGAAGTATGAATCAATATTTAATTTTTCATTCTTAATAAAAAAAAAATCGCGCAATATTGAAACAATTACGCAAGAAGCGCTGGGTCGGCTAATTTTAGACACTTTTGACACTGACGCCACATTCATTCATTATGCGGGCTTGATTTAAAATTTATCTCATCCATTTGCTTCCGACCATTCAAATTCGGCTATTTTTAGCAGCATTTCTTTGGCCGTCACCATTCGGACTGTCATTTCAAGGGATATAAGCATTTCTTGGCTATTTCAAGCCAACACAACTGACGCAAATCCAATTTCAAGCAACAACTAATGAATCGATTGATTTTTTGAATTTATTTTAGATTAAATTTTTGTTAGACCGAACATATTTTGGTCATGAATCAATTGTTATTTTTAGTTCAAAATATTTCGGCATCAATTTGGATCATTATTTAGTGCAAATAAAAGAAGAAACAAGAGAAAAAAAATTATAGAAAAGAAAACATTAATGGAGAAAAAATATTTTCACAACCTAAATAGCTCACATTTCACAACCTAAAGCAGCTGCATTGCTGCCTTGTCAAAGTCACTGAAAAAAGTGAAATTGTTCCAACATCAACAGTTACTCACAATTCTGTTGCCTGAGCGATGAAAAGAATGTCACAGTATCGCTAAGTCTATTTCGAGCTTCGTCGTTTATCGATTTGGCCGTGATAAATGAAGTTCAAAATGGGTCTTTCAACTTGAGCGCGACAGAAGCGTTGAACAGGAGAAGGCCAAATTTTTATTCATAAACTGATAATGATAATCATTTCCAGTGTGCTAGTTTAGTTGTGCAGGCGAATGAGTCGTGACATGACGCAACCGTACGGTTTGTTTAGAACGTGAACGACAACGACTAGATTTCAATTAGAAAATCCATAGAATTCGATTTATAGATGTATCGAACGATTTTTTTACACACTTTTTTTTATTGAATCTGTCGAAATTAACGTTTGATTGCGTTAGAAATTAACGATTTTTTTTTCACTATGAAAATTTGCATTTGATTTCGTTCAACATATTATATTTTATTAACATTAATTTCGTATTGTCATGCAATTCAGTCATGTAATCATACAAAAAAGCCGGCATTTTACGACAAATGCAGTTTTTCAATCCTTGAGACATTCGATTTGATTGACACACTGAACTCGACACCATCGTTTAAAATAAAATTATTCCATTGGTTGAAATCGTTGAGCACAAACAAATAAAAGACTCAACAAATTATGCATATTCATCGCAATAAAATGTGTGCTATTATATGATGGAAAAATACGGAATTCCGTGGCGCTATCGTGCACACAGTCAATGGCATTCTTTTTTCTTTCTAACTCGAAATACCTTTTTGCCGACGGCACTGTGCGGCTTTATGTGTTTAGTGCTAAGTCGCTAAATATATGTGTCACTTAGATTTTGATAAATCCACATCATGTTTGTGTATGGTGGGTATTCGCATCGGTATCACGATCGCCCGACCATTTAATGCATGATTTCTGTGTGTTTCGGCTCAATATTTTGTCGACGTTTCGTCATGCTATTTCGGTGCTGCGGCGGACGATTGAAAAAAAAAATTTGTCACGCCGTAGCGAATAAAACTAAAACAAGCTGATAATAACACGCGGGTCATTAATGGTTTGTTTTGGGTGTTCACATGCTAAAAACAACGATGTTAGAATCGCTTTTTTTGTGTGCACTGGGTGGTTTTGCTTTAGAGAGAGAGAGATTTGACAGATCTGTCGATAGAGCAATATTTATTGATATAGATTTTCAATGCAACCATATGGCTCGGGAATGTGTTTTAAGGACAAGGCCTTTCAACATATTGAACGAATTTTTGTGACTAACGATTTGCAGAGGAGCTGTAGCATATTGAATTTTGATATTTTTCGTTCATTTTTTTTGTTATCTTTTTAGTTCACATTTTTCGATTATTTTTCAATTTATTCTGAACTTAACAATGAATCATTTGAACGTTTCAAGTCATTGACTCAGTGATTCGTTATCATTTATCACTAACTGCAAGCAATAGAATGGCATAAATTGAAGCAATTGTTACGAAAAACTCGGAATAAAACGAATGACAACTGGGAACTAAGTGCGAAAAACTCTGAAATTTGAGCAAAAAACTGACAAGTGAATACTGAAAACAAACAGTTGAACACTGAACACTTGAATATTTTTAGCCAAATTTGTACTTTTGAACATGCAAAACCAAATCTGAGAACTTGAACGTTTGGAAAAGAAACTTAAAACTCGAACATTTCGAACAAAAACTGACTGAAAAAAAAAACTTTGAAATTACGAAGAAAAACTTGGAAAAAAACTGACAATTGAAAAATAAACTAAATGAATTGAATATGTCCAATTGAGAGAGGGAAATCTACAATTGACAAATGTCAAATTACTTGTTAACTAAAGATTCATTAATTCAAATGCCAAAAAAAAAAACTGACAACCAAATAGCCGATAACTTGAACTTCAGTAGCAAATTTAAAAACTGAAAACTCAATACGAGACAAACTGATTTACCGTCCCTTAACACACTACATCGTACTTACGATTTCTTTCTTGCTGCAGACTTCTTCTTTTTGCAAATTATTCTTTCTTTAGTTAATTTGGTTTAAATAAATTAAATAGTCTTTCTTTTATGCAATTTTTTTTTTAGTTAACAACAATTTTATACAGAACAAAACGAAAACGATTTTATTTTTTTCAACAACAATTTGTAACTGCACGAAAAACACGAGTTTTGTGTACGATCGAACAAAAAAAAATAAGTTGAGCCAATGAAAAAAGTATTTTTCTTCTGAAAATCGGTGGCTTTAAAATACAATCAAAAGATTCTGTTGAAATTGCAAAAAGAAAACATCACAATTATTGTTTAACTAGCACCGCACTGTGGAATCGAAATTCTTATGATTTCTGTTCACTTTGTGACATAAATGACAATGTTTCGCATCGTCAAGCAATTTGTTGTGGCTTGACAATAACACAGCTCACTTCAATGCGAGCGAAAAATATGTAAAAATGTTAAATTTTTATACTTAAAAAAACCGACAGCAGAAAAAAAAAGAAAAAAATGTTTGTTTGAAATGGCGAACGAACGAAAAAAAGTAAACACAACGAAAATGAAGACGATAAAACAAAGTAATGTGTGTGCGTGTGTTGTGAAAAGAAAAAAAAATGTTTTTAGAGTAGTTCAGAAGTGAGAAAAGAGTATGCGTCTCATCACTTCGACCATCTAGTGTAGACTGATTGGTTGGTGCGATCGGTATCGTGCTCGTAAGCTGAGCTGCTGCTTGCTGTGTCGTTTGCATGAGACGGCGACTGTGACGACGGCAACGACGTTTGGATCGTGCGATTATGGTGTTGTGTCTCTATCACGGTTGCACCAATGTGTGCGACATAGGCATGGTGCTGATACGATGGCATGCGTCTCGCTCGACCACACAACAGAACAAGAAGTGAAAGAGAAGAGAGAGAGAGAGAGAGAAAATCATCATCGTCGTCGTCGATAGACAGTTATCGGGTATTGCTTACATTTGGTGCACACAAATACCAGGAAACAGACATGAAATTCAAATAGTTTTTTTTTGTTGTTGTTGCTGCTGCTGTTGTTTGAAAAAGGGCATTTTCGAGCGTTCAAACTCACACCAACTGCACACGATTAAATGAAGAACAACGTTCCGGCTAAGATGGAGAGAAATCTGACCTGTTAAAAGACTCTCGGCACACAAATTGCAAGAAAGAGAAACCAAAAGTGAAGCAAATTGAAAATCATGCGACAATTTTTTTGTTTTTGTTTTCGATAGTTAAATAATAACTCTATTGGCAGCCAACAATGCAATTAATGGCCAAAATGCGATTGTGTGTGACTTTGTTATGGATTCATAGACGAATGACACGTACACAAACAGTCAATTATTCGAGAGTGTGTATGAGATAGATGCATACACGTATGAATTTCTATTTTGTCTTTACCTTTGCGGCAACGACCGACACACTAAATATATTGACTCAAATAATGCCGATTTATGGGGCTCTATCGTTGCACTCGGTTCTTTTCCATCTTTCTTCGCGAGAGTGTGGTAAAAATCACGTAAAATCCACCATAAAACGGCTTTATTACATTCAATGAGATAAATGACCTGCTATGCGGGGACCGACTCACTTTTGCATCGCTCTCTATCAAAGCCACACAAAGCATACCAACACACCAACGACAACAATCGACTACATTCTGTGTGCTTTCATTGAATTTACTTAACAGTCTCTCGTACGTATACTTTTCCGTTTGATTGTTTCTTGGCTGCCTTTGGAAATTTACTTACAGTGACACGAATGAGTGGGCCCTTTTTATAAATATATATTGGTTTAGAGTTCTTTCTCGCCGTCTGCTTTTATCAAACACGCATTTTTTATCCGCAACCAAATCTCTCTCTTATCAACATATTTCACTAAGGCTAGATGACAGTTTCAATCGAGCAGCCACAATACAATTTATAGACTCTTAGAGAGTTCTTTTTTCTCCCTTTTTGATATGTGTTGTAGTAGTACTCTGGTTTATATTTGGTGTTTCGGTCCCCAGACGATCATTTGCAGCTACAATTATTTCGAATCATTAAATGAAATGTTCTGGACTAGACTAGACTTTTAATGATCACTCTGATTTGAACGAACCGTTTAAAAACTAGAATTCTTTCATTTAACTACGGCTGTAAATGCTTCGGTTCAATTTAAATTTAGTTCAAAATGCGTTTGTTCTTACCATTTATTCATGCCTTTATTTTACTTTTGGTTCATAATGATTCCTGCTAAAATTGAGTGACAGAATAAATCCGAATAGAGCCCAAGCAATTGGCTCATGTTACTATAGTGTTCGTCGTGTGAAATTCAACATTTATCTGAACAAAATGTTCATGTTTGTTTAGAAGAAAATGTAGTTCACTGGCCGATAGACTTGCAAGCCATTCGGTTAATAAAATTGAATTTGTTTGCTCAACTTCTATTAATGATTGTTTGCGTAACAAATATCATCAATCGTTTCAGTGAAGACAACAATGTCGACGACGTTCCACATTCAATTAAAGACTCTGAGATTTCTGGTGATTTTTATTTCGTCACAATTCCGTTTTACCTTCAATGGATTTGGATCAATTTTACGCAATTTGTAACGCATGTTTTAGAGTTCCATCGAAAGGGATTTTATATATACGGTGAATATACGTTGTATATATCCTTCTCTCTTCCTCCTCGAAATCGAAGTCAAAAACTTTTTAACATGCGTCTTGTTAGGGTGAAACGAAAATCGTCCTATAAATTACAAAAATCATCCTAAATATCACAAAAATTGTCTTAAAGAAAGACGTCCTAAAAAACTACAAAAATCGACCTAAAAGACCCTAATTTCGTCCGAAAAATAATACAAAAAACATCCTAAAAAACCGAAAAATGTCCAAAAAACCCAAATAACATCCTCACAAAATTGTTCAATGTGTCCAAAACGCATATTTTCTATATCGCATGAGGCAGATATGGCGATCGTGTGATACTTGCTTACGTGCTCCTCATATTCATCATATTTCGTCAAAAAAGAAACATTTGGCTAAATGTATTCGTAATGCTCAATTTTATGTTACAAAATATTGCTGATCACGTACTCTTTTTGTAGCTGTGATTATTTTTGTATGGATCATAAGCAGATTTCCTGTTGAACTCGGAAGTCGCACGTATTTTTGTGGTGATGTCAATATTTCACCGGGTGCAGTCAAAACTAGTTTAAGTTCCCGGTCGATTCCTCTGCATTGGTTATCTATGTCACTTCGATAAGATTTAAGGAACAACAATAATTTATTGGAGACTCCTGATTTAACCATCTGAAATGGGTAATTTTCTCCAGCAGATTGGTTTGTGTATCCACTGTCTAGAGTCCATCCTGATGCATTCGGATTATTACTGTTCGTGATCATCATTGCTGGGGCCAATCTAAAAGTATTACCTTAGTCTTTCCTATCCTAATGAATGAAAACGCCATAAAAATTGAAACCATTCCGTTTCCAACCGTCACCATTTGCCCTGAAACTAAAATCGTTAGAAGTAAATTGGACGTGACTAGGGCAGTGAAGTCTGTAGCTAATTTATCCACAATACAGTAAGGAAGTTTGGAAGCAGATCTGACCTATTCAATAGCTAAGTCAAATCACAAATGAATCCAACCTTGTATTTACCATATTTCTATGCTAGGCTAGATATTCTATTCCAGCATAGCTAGTCGGCATACGGTTTATGGATAAATTAGCTACAGTCTTCACTGCCCCAGTCAGGTCCAATTTACTTCTAACGATTTTAGTTTTAGGGCAAATGGTGACGGTTGGAAACGGAATGGTTTAAATTTTTGTATCTTTTGCCATCTCCATTGTGACTGGATCTTCGAGCTTTTGAATCCAAACGCCACGAATCATCAAACCGGATACACCAACGGAAATCAACCACCAGATCCTAATTTCGATGCAATCATAATAACACCATATGGAAATAAAATTTATTGAAATTAAAGAAAACCGATGAAAATGAGATGAAGTGAAAATCTTTCGCTCCAATGAAGCCTTCGTTCGCTGAAATATCGAACACCATGAATGTTGCTGTCGGCACAGAATACTAATGACCATATCTGTATCCTCCGAACGAAACAAATTATCCATTTCACCTAATAATGAAAAAAAAAGCGATCGTTTTATAACTCAATTTTTCTTTCTTTTTGTGGAGCTAAACCTCTCGATCTGCAGTATTTCCATCTATTTGACTGGTCCGTTCAGATGGTCTTTCGGTATTTTTAGTTCTCGAATATCGAATGGTCCAGAAGAGACGAAGAGTAGCGTAACAAATTAGTTCAATAATGCTTAATGTTGAGACACCCAAGAATAGTCCGAGTAATCCAGCACGAATTGACAAAAAATCGACAATTGTGTACGTTTCAACCACAATTTTGGTTTCAATGTAATCCTCCACGAAGAAAATTGTCAATCTTATTTGACTGACATGGAAACCGAAAAAAGTACGGACGGATAAATATATCACTCTTCAATCGCCTTTTTTAAAGAATTTTTTTTTACCCCAGCTCGTTTGACCAATTGTTCGCTTCGTTTGATCATATTTCCGACCGTAAACAATGGACATGGACATACATGCTTCTAAACAGTTACAATGGGATTACGAGTAGTTTTTTCCTCTTTATTGGGAAAATGGTTGAACGTTTGCAGTCGGCTGTTAATGTTTATCACATCGCGGCTCTTTATTGACTACAAAGGAGTCATGTTCAGTGAAATAAAAAATAAAAGTCTTTGGTTTTAACTAAATTCGTTTACTTTTTAAATTCAAAAAACGTTTTGCATGCGCATCGGATACTCTTTTCCGGTAAACTCTTCGTTATATCCA